CCTCAGCCTCCCAAAGGCGTGGGATTACAGGCTGAGCTACCGAGCCTGGCTATTTTTAAAATTTTTTTTTAAAAAGTGAAAGAGGGAGGCAGAAGAGGAGGCTAGAGTGATGCAATGTGAGAATGCCTCAACCTGCCATTGCTGGTTTTGAAGCTAGAAGAGACTATGTGCTAGGGAATGCAGGCGGCCTCTGTGTGCTGGAAAAGGCAAGCAAATTCTTCCCTAGTGGCCTCCAAAGGGAATTTAGCCCTGCCAGTGCCTTGATTTTAGCCTGTGAGACCCATTTTAGACTTCAGACCTCCAGAACTGTATAATAATATATTGTTTAAATCACTAAGTTTGTAGGCATTTGCTATAGCAGTAGTAGAAAACTAATATACACGTGATACTTCTGTACCAGTTTTAGGCCACTGAAGTATACGCATACATTTTAGCCCCATTTTAAAGGCAAAGAAGCTAAGGCTTAGAGAATCTGGCGAATAAACGACAGAGCAGGATTTTAACCAAGGTCTATAGCCAGCTGTCATGCTGCTTCCTGCCTGGCTGAAGTTGCCTGCCTGCCTGTGGATCACCCTTGGGTAGCAAGTCCTCCCTTGGCCTCGGGGAGAGCTTTCTTCCTGGTGGGATTTGGCGCTCCCTCGGGGGGGCAGAGAGTGATGTCAGTGGGGAGGGTGTCAAAAAAGGTTCTTAAATCATCAAAGGAGGAGTGAGGAATAGCAAGGCAGGGCGCCTACGCCGCCGCTCGAGGAGGGTGGAAAATGCGTTCCTAAGACCCCGGACTGTGGCCCCACGGAGACCACCGGGCGGCTCTAATCTCCCTGGGTCGGGGCGGGGTTCCCATCCACAGTCCAGCATGGTCAGATAGCACACCTGCTTGGGGAGATGTGTAGAGATACTCTTGGATGCTCCAAGGTTGGGGGGTGTCTTCCTAAACTGTCCTCCTTCTGAAATGTGCCTAGAAGTGCTTATGGCATTGCTCACTGCAGCAGGTCTTCAGCCAGCCAAGCCCACAGTGGGAGGAGAAAATCCACACCCAGCTGTGGACATGGGGAGTTGTTGACTCAAGGGTCTGAAGTTTGCCTCTTGGCACCCCAGTGCCTTTGGGGTACTCTGCCTTTAGACTGTGCAAGGCTGTCCATGGACCTCTCTGTCCTGCAGGGCCATCACAGCAAGGAGAGGGCTCCGGAGAGAGAGCATAGGACTAACTGTGACCATCTGTCTTTGCAGTCCTGAGAAACATCTTTGTCCTCACCTGCATCATTATCGTCTGCTCCCTGCTCTTCCCTGTCTTGTGGCACCTCTGGATTTATGCAGGAAGTGCCAACTCTAATTTCTTTTATGCCATCACACTGACCTTCAACGTTGGGCAGGTAAGAGTCCAGGGAAGCATGGGGACAGGTATTCACTGTGTAGCTTCAGGCATTCTGCCACTGGGTTCTGCATACCAGGGGTTTAGAAGTGAAGGAGGAGCAGGGCGCGGTGGCTCATGCATCTAATCCCAGCACTTTGGGAGGCAGAGGTGAGCGGATTCTCTGAGCTCATAGGTTGGAGACCAGCCTGGGCAACTTGGCACGACCTCGTCTCTACAATAAATCAAAAGTTAGCTGGGCGTGGTGGCGTGCGCCTCTAGTTCCAGCTACTTGGAAGGCTGAGGCGGAAGGATCACCTAGCCCCGTGGACCACTAAGTTTGCAGGCATTGGCCATGAGCGTGCCGTGAGCTTGCCACTGTACTCCACATGGGGTGACAGAGTGAGACTCCTACTCAAAAAAAAAAAGAAGTGAAGGAGGGACAGTTACTCCCCTCAAGTAGTTCCCAGTAAGTAGAAAGGACTGGGGAGTAGAACCAGTATAAGATTGAACCTGGCAAACGCTCACTGAGTATCATGCCAAGCTGTAGCTCATTGAATTCTCTTGCAAGCCTATGAGACAGGTAGTGTTATCCCTGCTTTACAACTGAGGGACTGAGGTTCACAGATGTTGTCTCTTGCCCAAGGACATTGGAGAAGCCAAGAACCAAATTCAGGTCAGGCTTGATTTCTGAGGTATGTGACACTCATAGTGAGTGTACAGAGTGAGGTGGGGTGGGGGGGATGCAGAGGGCAGAGCAAGAAGAGGGGATGCTTTCCAGACCCGAGGGAGCCTCCAGGGACAGCAGGCACAGAGGCAGAGAGATGAGAATGAAATGGTCAGGCTGGTCGGGGAACGCCGATGGTGATTGTGCTGCAGGGAGTGGTGGGGAGGAGGCTGTGGGTCACGAGCAGGGAGCCTCGCTCCTCCCCAACCTTCTGTCCATGAAACAGGATTCTCAAGCATCAGAATCACTAAGGGGAACTTCTTAAAAATGCACATTCCCTGTTAAAATGTTTCAAATTCTGTAATTATGTTGTGACTGTCACACGCTAAAGGCTCTGATATTTTTATTTTATTTTGTTCTTTTGACTTGGAGTCTCACTCTGTTGTCCAGGCTGGAGTGCAGTGGCATGCTGCTCATGGCCACCGCAACCTCAACCTGGTGGACTCAGGAGATCCTTCCGCCTCAGTCTTCCAAGTAGCTGGAACAACAGGCGCACACCACCATGCCAGCTAATTTTTTTTTGTGATTTATTGTAGACATGAGGTCTCACCAAGTTGCCCAGGCTGGTCTCCAGCCCCCAGGCTCAGGCAGTCCTCTTGCCTCAGCCTCCCAAAGTGCTAGGATTATAGGCTGAACCACCGTGCTCAGGCATCTGATTATTTTTATTTATTTATTTATTTTTGAGTCAGAGTCTTACTCTGTCATCCAGGCTGGAGTTTAGTGGCACAGTCACCACCGCAGCCTCGACCTGCTAGGCTCAGGTGATCCTTCCGCCTCAGGCTTCCAAGTAGCTGGAACTACAGGCACGCGTCGCCATGCCTGGCTAATTTTTTTATTTATTGAAGAGATGAGGTCTTACCAAGTTGCCTGGGCAAACCCACGGTCTCAAACCCATGGGCTTAGGTAATCCCTTCCCCTCGGCCTCCCAAAGTGCTGGGATTATAGGCGTGAGCCACTGTGCCCGGCAATTATTTTTAAAAGGTAGATTTTCTGGTCCTACTCCCAGAAATATTGATTCAATGTGAAATATGGGGTCAGGAATCTGTGTTTTCAACATGCTCTCCCAGGGATTCTGTGGCAAGGGGTCTAGGAAACCCCATGTGGAGTCATCTACCCTGCTTGGGAGTTCCCTCCTCCCCTGTGCTGTTGCTCTTCAGGCCAGATGGTATCCTCCTTGTGGAGGTCTTACGACAATCACTTGCACCGGTCACCATTTCAGTTGCCATCAGCACAGCCATCATTTTCTGTGCATGGTGGACTAGATGGGAAGCAGGGCTGGCTAGAAAGACCAGTGATGCCAGTGAATAATCCCCAGGGAAATTCTTGCCCCTGGGAAAGAAGGGAGTTAGGCTTTTTCAGTGAGTGATAAAACTGGTATTTCCTGTGTGGACATTGCTGGAAGATTAATGTGCATTCAGTCACTTAGCTTGATTTGTGCACAACAGGAAGAGAGATGAAGGGCCCTGTCATCTGGATGGGGCTAGCCAGAGGGCCTGTTGTGCCTATCACATAGTTGTGAGTGATGGTGAAATGCGCAATACCTCCTACCTGTGTCCCACACCGGCAGAACTCTGCAGTCTCAGCTGTGTATCCTGAAGGAATCGGAAGGTTGCCCTGGTTCTCTTGCCTTTCTGGAGTCTCCTTCCTTTTCCTTATGTCCCAGTGGTGACTGGCATGATTAGGGCATTGGGCCTGCCCTGGGCCTCCAGGGAGGATGGCACAGTAGACCAAAGCCTGTTGTCTTGTCATGGGTCTCAAGTTTTGGTCTGGAAATGCAGTTGCTGTAGTCATGAACTTGCCAGATAATAGCTTTCTCTCCTGGGAACATCAAGCAAGCATCCAGAACCTGGGCCTTCATTGCTGAGGTCAGGAGCTGACTGTGGAGGACATGTTGACCTATAGGTTGTTTTTCAGCTCTTGCTCTGTTTGAGTTGATCAGTGACATACTGTATTATTGATCAAATTATGTGTGGAGTATTCATTACACCAGCAGCTAAACCAGTGGCTAAGGCCCCATCTTCTCCCCTGGGGGCCATTAAGTATTTTTTAGCATGTAGCACGGATCATCTGCTAGTTATGATTGTGCTTCAGAGTCAATAACAGGAAATATCAACAGTTAACCGTCCATGGGGGTAGTGATGACTGTGAGGAACAGAGAGGGAGGGATTAAGGCTGACGGATCGCTTGAAGTCCTCTTCTGCTTCTTCAGTCTTCAGCAAGTGATCTGACTTTTCAGGGTTGCTGTTTGCCCATCTCAACAGCCAAGATGATGATCCCTATCTTCCAGGGTGTTGAGAGGATTGGACGTAATATCCTGATGCTGTTTTTCATGTGTTGACATGGGACCTATTACGAACAACATGTACTTCAACTACCCAAAGTAGATTCCTAGAGAAATGTTCAGTTCTGTAGACCAAGGGAAAAAGAAGTCTCCCTCTCTTTTTTTAGCCCTTTTCTTTTGTGGGTCAGTGACCAGCAGAAGAAAGATACTGATCAAGGATCAATTAATGAAAAAGAACTTGTTTAAATTTAGTTTTTTTAAAAGAGTAATGTAAAATGTCCCACTCACCCTAATTCAATGTAAAAACAGGGAACACAAGGAGCGCTTTCTCTCAAATTATAATTCATAGTGACTCATGCTTCAGGAGAGCTTACGAGGGGCTGGACCCCATGATTCCTTTAATCTTCTGGATCATGTGCTCATGTGGCCTTCTGTGTGTTTACGTGGACTCATATGCTAACAGAGAAAGAGGTGTGTGTGCGTATGTGTGCGTGTGTTTTATTACTGACATCATGATAAAAGGAGGGCTCTTTTTTTTGCCTTTTAATAGAACATTTTGGTGATCTTTCCTTGCTCATATGTGAGAAAGGAACCTCCTCCTTAAGTCCTACATATGTGGACTTGCCACCACATTTTATAGAACTACTTCTCTGCTGACAGCCCTTTACATTTTCTTTTGATTATAAAGAATTTATTTAATCTTCATAACAACCTTTTGAGAGAACACTGTTATCATCTCATGGTACAAAAGAGGAAACCAAAACTTGGAAGGGTTAGAAACTCACCTGAAATCACAAAGCGAGGAAGGGGTGTATGTATGCGTGGTCTTGTTTATCACATTCTCTTAGTAGATTGTGGGTTCCATTAGGGTGAGCCCATGATGGTCTTGTTCATGGTTGTATCCATAGCACCATGAAGACTATTCAGGGATTGATTACTGATGATAAATGAAATGAACTGGGGTAGAAACCACATTTTACAAGCTATGATCTAGCACAGTTCTGTACATTCTACCCTCCCAGTTCCAGTCTCTTGATCGGAGCTGGCCCTGTGGCAACTCCTGCTGGGTTCCTTGGGAGTCAGAGCCAGAGCCCCTTCCCCTCTTACACCAGCTGGCCTGAGAGGCCCATTCCTACCCTGTGTCTGCATCTACAACCTATTCCTTGTCTGCTGTCCCTGCCCTTCCAAGCAGAGTCTGGAGTGTCTGGAACACTGCTCCACAAAGTACTGCCTCTTTCCATGAGGGGCCAGGCCTGACCCCCTCCCCGTGCTGCATTCCCTCAGATGCTGGGCCAGCTCTGCCTTGGCTGTTTTGCTCTCTGTCTCCAGGGAGGCCTTTGGCATCAAACTCAAGCTTCTTGGAGAGGTGGCCTCTTAGTGGGGTCTTGAGGGATGTGCAGGCTCTAACCAGGCTCTAGATAGTGAGTCCTGGGTGGGGATAAAGGAGGGACAGAGAGAGAGATTAAGAGGGAGAGAGAGGAGTGAAGGAGAGAGCGAGGAGGAATGCTGTGTGCTGCATGCTGAGAGCTCTGTGGGATTTGCCATACCTCTTGAGAGGGAATGAGGCCATTTCATGCAGAGGTCAGACCACATGGCCCGAGTGGGCCTCCTTATGCTGAGGTCCAGGCTGAGCATTTGGTTTTAAGCTGAGGACAAATGTGATCAGATTCACTTTGCCAGAAGGGAAAGAGCTAAGGGGTGTGAGCTTGGAACCCAGCGTGGCAGGAAGAAATCTTGCAGAGCCAGTGACAGCGTCAGAGGGTGATTGTGAGGACTTAATATGGGAGTGTCTGTGAATTGAAAAGTACCATGTTGATGACAGTTGCTTTTGTAGTCCCAATCTTCTTTCAGTCTTACCTTGTGACCTAACAGTCCCTGAGTGTAGGGTCCAGCCATGTCACTGTTACTTTGCATTCTCAGAGCTAGAGGATGGAGCTCTCTCCTCCACCACCTCCTCCCACATAGCATCCATTCAGGCCTGTGGGTTAACAGCTTGTGCCAAAGCCCCGTCCAGCTCCACAGTGGGCCACAGCTTCCTCTGACTCCAGCTTCCTGGACCCCAGCAGGTGGGCAGAGGATGCTGTACTTTGTCGACTGTGACAGCCACATGAGTTCCCCCCAGTGTGGGCTGGCTATCAATTGTCAGTGTCTCCAACAGGAGCAGAGGCTTGGGGACATACCTTGGTGACAGCACCTACTTCTCCAGGAAACTGCAGCCCAGGGCCCGTGGTGGCTAAGGCTACCATCCTGAGCCCGGCAGCTTCAAGAGTCACTAGATTGATGACCTCCATTGGCCTGGATGTCTCACATACTTATTTTGTCTTTTCAAAAAAGGTCTCTCTTTCATGGCTGAGTGACAGAGCTATGAGCTAGGGAAAGCGGCCTTGACAGGTTGTTAAGGTACACAAAGTATCAGCAAGGGCCTGGCGTGTAGTGGGACTAAGTATGTGTGGGTGCATACCCTGAGGGGCTGTGGGGCAACCAGAAGAACTAAGGGTTGGGCCTCAGACAGACAGGACTGGCATTGTAGACTGGCCCTTCGCTTACTGCCGTGTGTCCCTAGGCAAGACCCTTAAACTCTGAATTTCCCTTCTCTGGTGGGTTTGTGAGCCTGACCCTGGGGTGTTGTCAAGGGGTTTTATATATTTGTTGTTGTTGTTGTTGTTGTTAAAAGTCTGGTCCAGGCCGGGCTTGGTGGCTCAGCCTGTAATTCCAGCGCTTTGGGAGGCCGAGGTGAACGGATTGCCTGAGCCCGCGGGTTCGCGACCCGCCTGGGCAACTTGGCGAGACTTCATCTCTACAATAAATCAAAAAATTAGCCGGGCGTGGTAGCGCGCGCCTGTAGTTCCAGCTACGTGGAAGGCTGAGGCGGAAGGATCGCCGGAGCCCAGCAGCTCGAGGTTGTGGTGGCCGGGAGCGGCCACTGCGCTCCAGTCTGGGTGACAGAGTGAGACTCCAACTCAAAAAAAAAAAAAAAAAAATGTCTGGTCCAGAGCAGGTACTCAGAAGGTGTTTGTTTTCCTGTCTACCCTCTGTCTCACCCTGCAGAGGAGCATGTTCTGGGAATTTCGTTCCACCTTAGCTTACCCTCTGTCCCTGGCCACCCTCATGTCAGCTGCCCCACTAACTCTGTCATGACTCAGAGGGGAGGCAGCTCTGGAGCCCTCTTGGCTGCCAGTGAGAGGAATGTGGTCCCACTGGGCCATCCCCCGGGGGCAGTGCTGAGAGGGCGGGGACCAGCAAACTACTCACAGAGCACAGGCCTGTGCCAGGGCTGGGGCTACAGAGCAGGAGCAGATGCCACCCATTGGGTTGGGAGGCCGGTGGGAAACGACTCGCTCCGGGAGTCACATAGTGGTGTGGGGTTAGGGAGGACTCCTGGGGAAGATGGGCCCTTTATGGGTAATGAGGAGCTGCAGCGCTGCTGGGCATGCAAGTGTGTGGCGGGTGGGGGTCAAGGGAGCTTCTGAGTAGGCATCTTGGGGCCTGGGTGAGAAAGGAGGCCAAGGTACGAGGTCAGCCTTTGCTGCAATCACTGCCCTCCCCCGCACTAGGCCAGCCTGTGGCTGGCAGCTAGGGGGCGGGGCCTCAGGGGCTGCCTGAGCTCTGTCTGCTTTGCCTTGGCAGGGTCTCGTGCCCATCAGTGGACTAGGCCCTGAGCGTCTCACGTTGCAGCATCCGTAGCTACTAGTCCAGCTCTCCAAGTATGGCCTTAGGTCAACTCTTGAACCCTTTGGACCTCATTTTCTCCATTTCTAAGATGGGGATTAGGCCGGGCTCAGTGGCTCAGCCTGTAATCCCAGCACTTTGGGAGCCCAAGGCGAGTGGATTGGCCAAGCCCATGGATTTGAGACCTGCCTGGGCAACTTGGCAAGACCTCCTTTCTACAATAAATCAAAACTTAGCCAGGCGTGGTTGCACGCACCTGTAGTTCCAGCTACTTGGAAGGCTGAGGCAGAAGGATCACTGGAGCCCAGCGGGTCGATGCTGGGGTGGCCATGAGCATGCACTGCACTTCAGCCTGGACGATGGAATGAGACTC